TCCCTGCAACTGTTCGGATTACTTGTGCGAAAATGCTTTATGACAATTCTTACGAAAAGCTTTAGAAGTCGTAAATGTACAATGAAAAAATTACTTCATCCCTGTGAATCCGCAGGAAAGAGTCAATTTGGTTCGAATTTTTGCTAGTTTCAGGCAGAGCGTAACTGATCAGCTCCACGCTAACATCGCCGGACTGCTGATAAAGTTTCAACACAGCAAATACTTCCGGCGCCAACGATTGGATATAGATGTAAAATTTCGTTACTCCCTGAGCTATCCAAATCTGGAATAGATGGATTTTTGTAAGAAAGATCTTTTTGGAGGCACTTCTGGATGGCAAATTTTTATTTCTACCTCAAAGAACTGCACCATCAGTGTCCAGTCAGCGGCGAGAGAGAGTGGCGTCGCACAAACAGCCATTTTGTGTTTCCACGGTCCACGAGCATCAAGTAGTTGAATTGGCACTTTTACTGCAGGCTTGTCTGCTCGCGACAAAAATGCCTGCGGCAACGTTTGTTGACTTTTTGATAGCAGCTCTTCCATTGCTTTGTTTCGAAAAGTCACTGCATAGTGACCATAAAAATCGCATCTAAAAAGCTGAGTGAAATGAACAGATGAAAAAAGAAGTTACACTTGAGGCTATTCCCTGAGAAGTATGCACATGCTACAAATATCACTGCATCAACAGCGTCGAGAAATTCTACGGTGGCTCAGAACCCCGATAAGGATTTCTATTGCACTAGATAAAAAGGTAATGCTGTTACGAGAATTTCCTTCGTATCCTTGCTTACAGCCAGGCCCCAGCCGCCTCCTGTTGCGTAGGGTAGTAGTGCTCGTCGCTGTTCAGGAATACGGAAGCTAGAAAACTGAAATTTTGGTGAATGTGATCTCGTCGTATACGAAGTTAACTCAAAATCAATCCTCAGGTCGTTTTGTGTCATCGTTTCTAATCTCGATTTTATGAAAATGCATGACAATGCGGCTAACTTTGGATAAAATTGTGACGGGCATGCTAGGATTGGATGAGTCAGCATCGGGACAGTCACAAAATTGGTTCCATTACGCAGGTGCAATTTCAGTGAAACAGGAAGCATACATTTATTGGTTGCTGTTATCCTTATTGAGTAGGATGAAATAACATAGGCGCCCAGCACGTAAACCTAAAAATTTTTAAAAAATTTTACAAGGATTACATCAATTTTATTAAAAACTATTTTGCAAAACATTTTGAAATGGAGTGGAATCAAGCTATTTCTTTTTATACCCAATAAATCACTGCACAAACAGCTTGAAAGCACTCCTGCTGTGCAGAAGCGTTCCCAAGCTGTTCTTTGGTTTCACACTCTGATCCATGAGAATTTTCGCGAAAATCTGTTAACTCCAGAATCAGGCAAGACTGAAATCATAAAGAGTCTTTCCTGCTAGAGTGGGTTCTTGGAAATTTAAAGTTAGCTTCTCCGTATGCTTGTGCTTCACGCGCAAACGCATGAAAGTACAAATGAGTTTTTGGCATTTTTCTAGATCCTCCGAGCAAAACACATGTTCTTATCTCCACTGACTTTTATTATTGTTATTGTTATTATTATTAATAATAA